ATATTTATGATTTTAATATGATTTAATTTTTTATTTTTATATTTAATGCATTAAAAATAAGCGTATTTAATTTTCATTTTTTTTATTTTAAGGAATATTTAAAAAAATTAAAATTTTCGTCAAAATCACATGTGCTTCACAATTAATTATTATCTTTTTTCCAAAACGTTTTCCTGATCATGTGATTTAAAGCTTGATAAGCAACAAGGATTCAAGTTAAACATTGAAAAAGAAATATAATGAAAACATAATCACATGTGATGTGTAGCAAAACACATTTAAAATGTATAGATCACATGTACATCAAAACGTAATTCGTAATTTACACATATCGTATGTAATGCTCTAGATAACTTACATATCTTTTCCACTATAATCAATATCACATATCTTACATTGAAGAAAATTAGCGATTCTTTTTTAAATAAATATCACAACTATAATATTAATAAATCTGGAAAGATTTGTAAATTGAAAAAAAATACCGATTCTTTTGTTATTATGAAAATGAAATAAATAAAATCCTAAGAAAAAATGATCATAAATAAACTTTGAAATTGACGGATTATTTTTATTTAATAAAAGAATACAAAATATTAATGTTAGTAAGTATCTATTAAAAATTTACCGGTTTCAAGATTATTATAAAAACAAATTGATTGTTCATTTCCTAAAAAACCGAACCTATATAATCTTCCTGATTTAGACACAATTGAAATATTACTAAAATTATCTATTATAAAGTCAAAGGACAATCATACCCTTATAAATTAAAAATAAAGGAAATTAAATAAAATTATACTATTGATAGATGCTAGTTTGTACAGTTGTACAAAAGGGAGCGGTTTGTATTTGATTGCTCCTCTCTCTCTCTCTCTCTCTCTCTATATATATATATAATATATATATATATATATATATATAAAGATGTACCATAGAGTACCACAGTTTAGAGATTTTTTTTGGCTTATTGTCATGCATAACTAAAAAATTTGCTTGATTTTGATCTTTCTTTCTATTCCTAATGAATCAGGTCTCAGAAGGGTGCTGTTGAGTTCTTCTGGATTGGTGGGCAAAAGCTGGGAAGTTTGCTGCAAAATGATCCAGATGAAAATTTCCCTGGTTTTCCTAACATGGATTTGGTTAATTGGGGTCGTAATATATTGTGGTCTTTAAATCAGTATAAAAGTCTCGATAAGCCTTTGGTTCTATGGGATATCATAGCAGCATTATCGGCTTTTAAGAAATCTGAAGTTAGCTATCTGGAGCGAATACTGGTTAAATGGTTGATCTCGAATCTTGGATTTGAGTGGGGCCCTTCTCTTGGAACTGTTTTGCCACATGTCTGTAGACATCTCTCCGACTTAACTTCCCGCCAGTTGCATCTGCTTAACGTCATTAATAGGAATGTCATACTTCGCGAACCAAAGTTGGATAATGTAAACGGTGAAGAGCAGGGATCTGATGGGGAAGAACGGAAACTATGGAGTAAGCTTCTTGAAATGAGTGAAAAAGAACTTCGAGAAAGGCTCATTGGTTGTAGCTTTTCTGCCACACTCAACCTTTCATCTCGTTTGCCTGTAAAAGGGTATAATGGTAATTGGCAGCCAGTTGGATTGTCACAAATGCAACGGTGGGTTGCCAATAACGACCATATAGTTAAAGATTATGTGAAACTCCTTGCTTCTGAAGTTAAAAAGATCGAGAAAAGGTATATTAAATTCCATACATTTATGTAAAGAAAGGGATTTTCGTTTGTATTATTCCCTCGTCTCAAAATAACTGTGCACATTTCTATTTACTTTCCAATTCTATCCTTGGGTATGAGACGGAGAAATTCATTACTCCCTTCTAGGGTAAATGTGTCATATAGTCAATTAAAAAGCGTATTAGTTGCACATTTCTAAAACTGTTGTATAATTTGCTGTAGAGGGGGGTTATGGGGAAAACCCTAAAAACGGAAAAACCGAAGAACACCCTCTTAACCATTCATCTGGATAGTATGCACATGTGTATACAAGTAATTGAATATGTTTTTTTGGTTTTTATGCACGTACAAGACAAATTGCTCACAAGTTACTTGTGCACATGTGAATACTGTGCAGATGAATGGTTAACACAAGGTGTTACTTAGTTCTTTATTTTTTTGCGGTTTTTCCCTGAATCTGACCCGTTTGTTGCATATACAGGTATGTAGCAGAAGAGGATGAGTGTAGCTACTGTTCAGCGCCAGTTCCATTTAAGGATACGGAAGTTGCTTTTTGCCAAGCTGACAAAATCAAACAAGCAAGGTGTGCAGTTTCTATGATCGTGTGCCCTACTTCTCCGACATGGATTTGCATATCTTGCAACAGACGGGTTTCAAATTTGGCACCGGAGAGTCTTTTTACGCTGCACAGATACCCTCCATCTGTTGACTCGGTGCAAAATGCTCAAGTTTTGTCGAAACCATTATGTCCATTTTGTGGGATATTGCTGCAAAAACAGCTTCCTGTGTATCTTCTACCAACATCACCCGTATAGATCAAATGTGGTTCTGAAGGTACATGACGGTTTCACTTGGCTTTTTTTTAGTTTGTGATCGTTTTTGTTTATCGTTTTAATATAGTTCTATTTCGATGTGATGATAGTAGGAGGATGTCATGGCTCCGTCCTGCACCCAAGTCGACCTGAAGCCGCTTCAACGGTTGTGAGGGGATCGATCCAGGTAGTTTTCTTTTATTTCCTCGAGAGTCGATTGCTATTTTTACGGGTCAAGTTTTTTCGTATTCTTTAGGTCCAAGTAGTTAGTGGTATAGAAGTAAATCAGTTGTTTTGAGTTATTGTCATTTATTAGATTTATAGTTTACTTGAAATTAGAAATTTAATCATATGTAATTCAAGCCTCGCATCTTTAATTTATGCTATGGAATATCTTTAGAAGATTCTTTAAGATAAAAGACGGTTATTATTATTTTATATAGTCTTTTTAAAAAGTGTAACGGGATGATAAATTTATAGAAGATTTTAGGAGTGTAATAGATGTTGAAATCTCTAAAATAGAAAAAAAATGAGAACAAGTTTTATTTGGTAGAGTTGGTCTGCAAAGCTTTTATTTACCCAAGTTCGAATTATGTTAATGTCATTTTACTAGTCAAATGGTGGCACCATTTGAAAAAAATTCCGTTGTTTCTTATAGTCAAATGGTGGTGTCATCGTTCGCTATATTTTTTTTCTTATAATCAATTGGTGCCACCGTTTGAATTTTTTTGGATCCATTCTTGGGAAGCAGGTATTTATATTAGTGACATTTGTGGATGTATTTGAATAATTCTTACAATCTTGATATATGTATGTATTTGTGTCGATAAATTTTGATTTGAATTTGGTAATTTTATGCGTGGCTCAAATTTTATCAATGTATATTATATGTACTAGAAGGGTACTTGCGCAATGCAGCGAGATATATTTTAATTTTAGTATTTTATTTTATTCTTTATCTCAATCGATGTTATAGTATGGTCTTATGTGATTTTGAAAAAAACGATATGTTTTTATTTTCGAATAAAATATAAATTTGAAGTTATCATAAAAATTTGATAAAAGTATATCGATATTAATATTAAATTAACTATTTAAATTTTTTTTATTTTTTATATAATTAATTTATTATAATTTAATTTAGGTTCAATAACGAAATAATTTATATTTGGTTAATAATATAATTTTTTTATAAAGATAATAATTAATTATTTTGTTAGAACTCGATAATTATCGTAATTATATTTTAGATATTTTATATTTTAAATTGAAATGTTTATCCTCTATTTGATTATGTTTATCCGTAGTTAGTTACACGAATTCAAACATGAAATTTTAATAAGCTGTACTTATGCATAATTTACTTGTAATTTTGAATTTTAAGTAATATGCATCAATATACAATACTTTATACATTAAAAATAGTTTTTAAGAATTTTTGTCAAATGTTTTATAATATAGCATAGATATAGATGATAAAATTTCGGTTTTTTAAATAAAAACTAAATTACCAATAGAAATGCGTAGGTAACAACTATTAAACTAAATTAAAAATCCGTCCGTTGGTATAAACAAAGTGTCGCAAAAGCATGTAAGAAACAATCAGCCGCCCCGTAAAGACTAATAAACCTCAGTAATACGTTTCCATTTACGGTGACACCAGCTTCATCACCACCCACAAAATCATTGTTGCTGAGCAGCAGCCATACTATATCTTCCTTAATTAGCTTCTTAAACAGCAAATATATATGCACACGTAAACCATCCCATGCAACCAACCTCCACCTCCCCTCCCCTCCCCTCCCCTCCCTATTCACAATAATACTACTCCACCCACTACAGAACCTTTGGAACCATCTACTCCCATCCCTTCCTCAACCTCAGATGCTTTCCCCAACATCACCCCTCAACCCGATACCGCACAAGCATCTCCTCAACCCGATATCACATCTTCTACCATCCACTCCCAAACGGCGCACACCCGATACCAACATTTCACCCAAGTCTCCTACTTTCCAACCACCTCCACCTACTCGCCCTCAACGTGACCGTAAACCCAATCCCAAATACTACAACTCTAATACCGTAAACACCACCACTCTCCACCCGCTTCCACCCAACCTTGAACCCACCACTCACATTCAAGCCTCTAAAGATCCGCAATGGCGCAATGCAATGGATGCGGAATTTAACGCCCTTATTCAAAATCAAACATRGGAGCTTGTACCYGCGACATCCCACACACCCATTGGTTGTAAATGGGTTTTCCGGATCAAACGTAATTGTGACGGTTCCATTGTCAAATACAAAGCTCGTCTTGTGGCGAAGGGCTTCCTCCAACAACATGGGAAGGACTACTTCGATACGTTCAGTCCCGTCACCAAACCCATCACCATTCGCACCATTCTCTCCATTGCACTATCTAAAAATTGGTCATTACGACAGCTAGATGTAAACAATGCCTTCCTTCATGGCACTCTTTATGAGGATGTCTTCATGACTCAACCACCAGGTTATATAGACTCTCAATATCCACATCATATCTGCAAGCTCAAAAAGTCTCTAGAAGGCTTAAAACGCGCTTGGTACACTGAGCTCACTCAATTCCTCCTTCACTTTGGATTTCGCAAATCTTTAGCTGATGCTTCTCTTTTTATCTACCAACATCGAACCATCATTTGTTACTTCATGGTTTATGTAGATGATATCGTACTTACGGGAAATGATTCCCGTTTACTCGATCACTTCATTCAAGCTTTGAACCAAAAATTCTCTCTCAAAGATCTTGGCATGCTTCATCAGTTTCTTGGTGTTGAAGTTATTCCTACACCTACGGGTCTTTTCTTGTCACAACATCGTTATATTCAAGATATCCTCCATCAGTTTCACATGGATGGCGCAAAGGATGTAATGACACCTCTCAGTGCCACTGAACCCTTATCGCACACTGACTCATCTCCATCAGTGGACGCCACTCCATTCCGAAAACTGGTCGGGTCACTTCAATACCTAGCATTCACTCGACCGGACATTTCGTATGCCATTAACAAGCTGTCTCAATTCATGCACAGTCCGCACCAAACACACTGGCAAGCTCTTAAACGAGTTCTTCGGTACCTCAAAGGCATTATCCATCATGGCCTCTTCCTAAATCGCCATTCCAATCTCACTCTCTCGGCCTTTTCTGATTCTGACTGGGGGGGTGTAAATGATGCCGGTCGGTCAACCACTGCATATGTTCTTTATCTTGGTACAAACATCATTTCATGGAAGTCCACTCGCCAAAAATCAGTTTCTCGCTCATCTACGGAAGCGGAATAAAAGGCCCTAGCTAATGCTTCCGCTGAACTCGTATGGATAAAGAACTTACTACATGAACTTGGTCTCACTACAAGTCAACCGCCGACTTTGTTTTGCGATAATACGAGAGCAACCTTCCTTTGTGCCAATCCTGTGTATCATTCCTGCATGAAGCACATTGCTCTTGACTATCACTTTGTTCCGGAACAAGTCTCCGCTGACAAATTAAGGGTCCTCCATATCAGCTCACAAGATCAACTTGCGGATATGCTTACCAAACCGTTGGCTCGAGCACCGTTTCTTCGAAATCGATCCAAGATCGGAGTATCCGACGGATCCTCCATCTTGCGGGGGCGTATAAGGAATATCAACAAATCATAACTGAATCACAAAGAATATTGCATTATCAATTCCTAATTCTCAGCCGCATGTATATTTAGAATGTGTATATTTGTAATGATGGTAATCCTTTCATTTAGTTATAACGTACCATAGAATTAGCCTCTTTCCTTTCACTGTATTGTGTATATTAATCTTGTATTTCCCACTTTGTAATTATTGAAAATTATAAAATATACAATCATTACAGTTTCTTGGTTCCTTTTGCATTCTACTTATTTATTTTTCTGTGATTTTTGAATTCTTTGCCTCTCATTTATATAAAACATGCTAATGTTGTCTCTAATTTGCTTGGAAAATAAAAGAAGGGGTCCATAATGTAAGAAAAAATACTGTTATTATTTTAATCTGTTTAATTTTTTTTATATAACAACATAAACGAATTCTGTGGAAGAAACCAGCAACGGTTTGATTGAAACAGAAACGAATTCTGTATTTAGTAAAACAGAAACGGATTCTATAAAGAAAAG